GACTTCTCCAAAAGAGTCAAAAGAGATCTACATACTGGGAAAAAAATATTTGGCAATGATATATCTGACAAGGGACTTATCTCTAGAATTTATAGAAAACTCCAATACCTCAATAACAAAAAGACAAATAATCCAATTCAAAAATGGGCAGAAGATATGAATAGACACTTCACCAAGGAGGATATCGAGGCAGACCACAAACATTTGAAGAAATGCTCACGATCATTAGCCATTAGATACATGCAAATCAGAACAACGAGACACCATCTTGCCCCAGCACTAATAGCAAAGTTCAACAAGACAGAAAATAACAAATGGTGGCAAGGATATGGAGAGATTGGGACTCTCATACACTGTTGGTGGGACTGTCAAACTGTACAACCACTGTGGAAAGCAGTATGGCTATTCCTTCAAAAGTGGGAATTAGAAATACCATTTGACACAGCCATTCCATTACTAGGTATATATCCTAAACAAGTGAGAGCCATGACAAGAACAGACATATGCACACCCATGTTTATCACAGCACTATTTACAATAGCCAAAAGATGGAAACAACCTAGGTGTCCATCAACTGAGGAATGGATAACCAAACTATGGTACATGCACACAACGGAATACTATGCAACCCTAAAGAATAACGTAGAATCTGCAAAACCAAGCATAACATGGATGAACTTGGAGGAAATTACGCTGAGTGAAAAAAGTCAATCACAGAAGGACAAATCCTGTATTAGTCCGTTATTGTAAAAGTCAAGGAAAGGTTTATCTATGGAAGGAAATTTTCTTTGTTGGCTTCCAGGGGTGGGAGGGGAGAGGAGCGAACACTGTTACATATGCAGAGATAAGTATTGATTTGGGAGAAGAGAAGGGCAATGTACCAAATATGAGTGATTAACATTGTTGCACTGAGGAAGAGGAAGACATAGAGAGGTACATGGGATGTGCAGACAACAAAAATGAACCCTTTTGCACATGCAGTACTGCATTGTGAAGGCAAACAAGGGTGTACAGGTGGATAGATGGGTGTACAGGCTGTACTATTAGGTATGTCAGTGAAGCAGGGAGCGTACCCAACACCATGTATAGGGTTGCCAGACAATGGTCCTATGAGTGTATTTGTATGATCTAAGAATTCCCAGGGGTATGGTAGAGCTGACCAGGGACAAGTTTGTAGTCACTTCTTGGTCACAGCCAGCTACCCAGAGGGACCAAGTATTTGAACAGGTAGGCTCGGGACCATAGTCACAGGGGACATCAAGCTCAATTGGCATAACATACTATACAAAACATTGTTCCACTTCCTACTTTGGCAAGTAGCGACTGGGATCTTAAAAGCTTGCAAGCAACCATCTAGATGTAATGATGGGTCTCTCCTCATCCAGAGCAAAGAATGAAGAAAAACAAAGATTCATGGAAACAATTAGTCCTAGTGAACGGTATACCATGCAATCCTCAGCCTATACAACTATGAGACCAGTAGAACTAGGTGGTGCCTGGCTACCACTGTCAACTACTGGGAGGGGGATCTACGTAGGAGATCTTGGATAGAGAGGGAGAACAACGTGGAATAAAACTCAAAATCATTTGGAAAAAAAAACGGGGGATCAGGTTTGCTGGTCTGATAGAGCCTGGTGGAACCACTGAGATTATGGCCCCTAGCTTCCCTTCAGGTCTGGAATTGAATCCACACCTGTGGCTTCCAGCCAAACAAAATACACGCATATGAGTTGAACATTTACCTGAGGTAGATACACTCCTCGGAGAGAACAATCATGGGAGAAAGAAGGGCTGCTTATGCACAGGGAGACAGTTCAGGGGGTAGGAGTGCATGGAGGGATGAACACAGGAAAGAGGTAACTATAGGGAGGAAGTGGGAGGGGAGCTGTTGCATTGGGGTAAATTTTAGTTAATGTCATGAGACAAAGTATATGTGTACTGTTGTATGGAAAGTGACTTTGCTCTGTAAATTTTCACCCAAATCACAATTAAAAAAAAAAAAAAGTGGTATGAAGCATTATACCATTACAGCAAATGTGACAGATTCTCAAATGTTACTACCCACTTGTCTAAATCTTTTTATTATCTACAGAATTTTCTTATATAACTTATTTTATTTTTTGTTGTTACTGAGAATATATCTACAGAACTTTCTTTAATTCTATTTTCTTTACATTAACATATAATTTGACAGGAGTTAAATAGCCATATAACAACTATTTATACATTGTCTACCAGAAGTTTACAATTTATAATCAATCTGAATACAGATCTCTCTGAAATTCTGTATTCTCAAATGAAAATTCAATATGGAATGTGTGTTCTGTATTTAATCAACAACAAAAATCCTTACAAATAAGCCTTTCACTAAAATACTGTCCTCTGCATTCCCCAAGGTTCTCAAAACTATGCTGATCCACAACTCAGATCTAAATTCTGTTCTCTCATATCAAAGTAATAAAGAACAGCCAATTTTAGCAAAATATTACAGTTAAAATAAACACTATATTAAACCAACTCATAATCAACAAATCCTTCCGTTTTCTTGAAGGACCCTGAGGCATTATTAGGACCTTTATAACATTTATGAAATGGGGGTGAGGGTGGGGGAGTAGCCAAAATTTTTGACCATAAATTATCATTTTGGCAAAAACGAGTAAGGCATTATCTTGTCATAACAATGATAATAAAAAAAGAAAGTAGGATTTCACACACACAAAAAAAACTTTCACACGCATTAGTTTATGGATGAACATCAACAGAATTGTGAGGTAAGATGAAAAAGGCAATTATTATTCTCGTATGTGGAATCTTAAACTACAAGGTTTGGGAGTTTGCCCAGTCACAAAGCTAAAAATCCTTTCTTCAAATTACGCGTTTTCACTCTTTCCATGTCATCTCTATGCACAGACCCAAGCTTTCTACCCTCGTTCACAGATGATAGTATGCGGGGGTCCCTACAAGGCTGTCACTGGAAAGACAATAAAAGGGGACGGAGACCAAGACAGCCTCTGCCTTCTTCTTTGGCCTAGTCTAAAGGATGTCTCTGCGAGACGCTATCCGAGTAGGGCTCGGATCCAGGCAGTCAAGGTGAGTTTTTCCGGGTGTGCTCCGGCTCCCCAGTCCTGACACCTGCCACCACCTATATATAAATTAGGTCTCCGCCCGCAGCGGCCGGGGGATAGAACATCTCTGGTCCTTGTTTCCCAGCGGAGGTGCAGGAGGACTTTGCTCCAGCTGCCGCGACTTACCTGTCGGGTCATGAGAGACTTTATCTTTTGCATGTTGAAATCGTGAAGCGTAACTGACCGCAAAGAACTAACAAATCACGCTGAACCACCCGACAGCTGGCCCCGACACAGAGAAGCCATAGTGGCTGATCACGTGAACCGCCAACCCAGGTCATCTTTTCCTTTCTTGAGCATGCTGGGAACTGTAGTTTTCCGGCAACCCCAGGCACCTGCAATGGAAAAAAGAGGGCCGGCCAGGTACTACATTTCCCAGTTAGCAGGACAGCGGGCGTTCCAGTTAAATCTGCAAATCTTGTTCTTTATGGCTATGGCAATTGCTGGTCTTTCCACAGTGTTTTGCTCCGGGCAGCTTGGCTTGGGCAAGACGGAAACCTAATGTATAATCGACCAGACGTGGAGTGTCAGGTATAAACAGTGAGGAGACAAAGCAGACTGACATGACTCCCCTAAGGAGTGTGATGTGAAAACCCCAACTGGTCTAGAGGGGAGAAGCAGGAGAAGGTGAGACTGAAGCGAAAGAGTGAGAACTCAAAGGAAACGCCCTCCTGGAAGTGATCTGAGAACTCGCGACTCTTTAGGTGGTGCTGAGCTAGTCTGAGGAAAGAGGGCTGGTCGGGGTTGTCCAGTCAGCGGCCAGCTGGTTAGGACTGTTCCTTGGTCTTGGCATCCTCTGCAAAGAAAGAAAGGAAGGAAGAAATTTGACCTCCACCCATCATTTTACTCCCCGTGTGATCTATGGCAAGTGAAGCCGGAAATCATGACAAAAATAATAATGAATACACATGTCACGTTAAAGTTCTCAACTTTTGGCAGTTTAGTAAAATTGAAGGAGTTTAATATGGGAACTGTTTGGGACTCAAGAAAGAACATTCCAATTATGAGAATATCAGAACACAAGCAGCCCCAGATTTAATAATAATAAGCCCCGGCACATAACAACAACAACAACAACAATCTCCAACCAGAAAAAGAGGAAAAAAAAAAAAAAAAAGTGCTGTTGAGTACATTCCATTTCAAGCACACAGACACACACACATCAAAAACAAACAAAAACCTAAATAACAAGTTTTTAAAAGGGGATCGTTGGTTGTTATTCCTTGCTGTAAAGTCAATTCTAACTCTTGGGGACTCCATGTGTGCATAATACAACTATTCCATAGGGGTTTCAAGGCTGTGACCCTTCAGAAGTAGATGACTAGGCTTGTCCCCTGAGATGCCTCTGGGTGGAGTCTAACCGTCACTCTTTTGGTTAGTAACCAATTGCTTAACCATTTGTACCACCCAGAGACTCCTTTTAAAGATAAAGGATGTTACATAATTTCCACTTCTTAAATATATACATTGTATATATGTATATGTGTGTGTATGTATGTGTGTGTATGTATGTGTGTGTACATATGCATGTGTGTGTGTATATATATATATATATATATATATATGTTGTTGTTGTTGTTGTTGTTATGTGCCGTCGAGTCGGCCAGAGCTCCCATATATATATGTATATGTATGTATATATATATATATATATATATATATATATATATATGCATGTATACATGGATTTATGTATAAATATTTGATTTATTTAGGACTGAATTTTCCTGAGGTCTGCTAGTGATTGGCCAAACTAGTGGAAGGTGGATGGCAACAAGTCTTGAGAAAACCTTGCTGAATGAAAGTCTCTTGGTAAAGAAGAACCAGCCCCATTTTTGCAGAATGGAGCATCAGGGCTGAGAGACAGTAAGCTGATCTAATTCAGGGCAGTAGCCTGAGCAGTAAAGTAGGTTAAGGACATATTTCTCATGGCCCAAACAGGAGGAGCCTCTGGAAGCTTAAATACAAGCTGACATCTGTTTTGACTGGGATAATACATTTCTAATCTTATAAATGCCAAAGCAGTGGAGAGCTGTAGCCTCTCCAGGATGATGGGACTACACTTCCTGAGCTGGCAATATCAGAAAACAGAACATTTGCAGGTAGAGGTGTAACCTGGCGTGAGGCCCCAGAGAGAAGATGATGCTTCACAGTACTTTAGCATCTTATCAGGTAGACTAGGCTTCTGGGAGGCAGTATTATGGACTTAACTATATGTGAACAAACACTAGCACGAGTGAGGCATGTGTGATGGCCTCCTCTAGCAGCCAGTTCTTCCCTATAAACTGTAACCTTCCCTGTGATCTAATTGCAACAGTAAGGCTGTACTTTCTTCCCCCAGTTCTTCTTAGAACCCACTGTTCTACCTTGGCCTTGACATCTCACCAACTCTCCTCTCCAATTGTTCCTATCTTTGCAAAAACACTTATATGCTGCTGTGAATAAAAAAAAGAGCTCTGGTAGCATAGTGCCTAAGGCATTTGACTGCTAACCAGAAGGCTGGCAGTTCAAACCCACCAGCCACTCCTCAGAAGGAATGTCGGGCAATCTACTTCTATAGTGATACCACCTTGCAACCCAAGGAGGGCTCGCTATGAGTCGGATCTGACTCTATGGCAGTGAGTTCGGTGTTTTGGTTTGGGGGAGTAAAGAATGTGGATGTTTTAAATTCATTTGGCAGACTTTTTGGTTTATGAAGTAAGACCAGCTTTAAGCACATTACCATTGAGTCAATTCCAACCCATAGTGACACTATAGGACACAGAAGAACTGCCGCATAGGCTTTTTTAGGATGTAATCTTTTCTGAAACAGACTGCTACATCTTTCTCCCAGAAGTTACTGGTGGGTCATACTGCCCACCTTTTGGTTAGCAGTGAAGTGCTTAACCATTGTGTCATTAGGGCTCCTTTACCCTAACTTACTTAAACAGTAAGTAAGAACAGCCTTACTTAAACAATGTTGACCTTAAGCTATATAATGTGATGTGAGAGGTAACAGGAAATCCTTGCCCCCCACAACACACATATGCATGTGCACACACTCGCAGCACACACACATAAACTATCCCAGTGGCTTCTGGCAGTCTTTGAAATTCAGTCATCATGGATATAAATTACTTTGAGTTAATCATCTTCCTCATTTAAAATTCAAATATAACTAAGATCAGTAAACAGTAAGGCTTTTTAGGTTCTTTTTATTTGCTTTAACAGCGTGGTAGAGAAGAGCTTCCCAGTGGATTACAGCTGTGATGTGAGATATTGATGGTGGAAGATTTTTTATAATGATTAAAAAAAAAAAAATTCATTGCCACTGAGTTGATTCCAACTCATAGCAACCCCCATTGGGTTTCTGAGGTGGTAAGTCTTTACAGAAGTAAAGATTGCCCCATCTTTCTTCCACAGAGTGCCTTCTGGTTAGCGGTCAAATGCCCTGGCACTGCACCACCAGAGCTCCTTCTTATAATGACAGAACACTTTAAATCATTTTTTTACAACCATATAAAGATTGACAACAGTTAAAGTTATAAGGGAACATCATTTGTATACCTTGCTGTTTAAATCTGCATTCAGACATTGTTCCAGTAGGTAAGACTTCATGGCTATCATCTGCCACTAGAGGGCGATTTGTCATGGATCTGCCTAATAGCACTTTCCCAAGATGTGCTATACAGGCATCACCATTCTTTTTCAGTGTGCCATGCCATGTAGCATAGTGGCTAAGGCTCTTCTTGACTGCTAACCAGAAGGCTGGAGGTTCAAACCCACCAACCACTCCTTGGAAGGAAGATGGGGCAATCTACTTCCATAGTGATACTTTCTCGGAAACCCAAGGAGGGGTCGCTATGAGTTGGGACCAACTCAACAGCGCATAACAACAACAACAACATCCCTATGGAAGTTGATTGCCCAGTCTTCCTTCCGAGGAGTGGCTGGTGGGTTTAAACTACCAGCCTTCTGGTTAGCAGTTGAATGCCTTAGGCACTATGCCACCAGAGCTCCCCAGAATAAAGAAGAGTCCTTGAAATTGAGTAAATTTAACATTAGGAACTACTCACTACATTGTCTTTATTTTTCTCATTTTGCCAAGGACCTAACAAACTTCACCATGGATAAGAATGAGTTTGAAAACTCTGGAAGGACCTTATCTTATAAAGGCAAGTGAAGATTAATATTGAGTAAAAAAGTGTGTGTGTGTGTGTGTGTGTGTTGGTGTGTGTGTTGGTACAGGGAAGAACTTATGTGATAGTTATAGAACTTCCATATTTACTTTATTGTTTTATGAAATCCAGTACTAAGATTTGCTTGCAGTTCTTAAACATCAACTGAGAATCAGAAAATATGGGCCAAAGAGCATTTTAAGTTTCTGAAGGAACAACCTAAAAATATTAATTAAGCACTGTGCTAGGTGCTAAGACTCCATAAATGAATAAGACCATTCAAGAATCGCAGATACGAAAATAAACATATGATGAAATTAGTCTTAATAACAGCTGCAATAGATGTATGTACAAGGTTTAGAGATAGCACAAAGAAAGTTGTATAGTTTTGTTTGTTTTTATCTAGGATAGAAGCTCTTATCATTTTTCTGAAGCACAGAAAAAACATAAAGTGACTGACCTGTGAAGAGAAGTCACATTTCCCAACTGTCACTTATTTTCTTTGCCTATAAGAAGCCCTTGTAGATGAGTAGGATCCTTCATGTCAAATTATTTCCAAACTTGGATTCCAAAATTATTTTCATTCCTTTTTTATTTTAAATTATTCTCAAGAAACTTTCTTCCTTCCTCTCTCATCATTGAACTTCTCCAGTGCACCTTTTCTATTAAAAGTGATTCCTGCAAGGAATACACAATGGCATACACAATGCGATCCATTTCGTGGAGAAGGCTTGGACTAGAGCCTTCTTACAAGTGAGGGTGGACTTATAACTTAGTAAACTGTTCAGACTACTTGCTGCCATGACAATCAAGAGGCCACTGAAAAGATGTAGCCCACACACCACAGTAGAAGCAAGATCTTCTCTGGGTCATTGGTTCACTTCCTGTGATTCAGCTTTGAATATGTGGCCTCAGATATTACTGTCGGCATGGGCTCTTCATTATAATTATGCACAGTCTATGGTTCAGGGTCACTTGGAAGCACATCTGTGCTTTGCTTTTAAAAATAAGATGAACCCACAGAGTCGGTAAGACTATAGTTGCCATTTGTAATCGCAAGCACTTCATTAAGAGACACATTTTTAAAGATACTCTGCTGCTCTGTTGTGATTCTTTGATATAATATTTCCATACATTTGGTGACTTCATGGAGATGTATAACTGTTTAACAGATACATTAAAATACTTCGGTTTTCATAGGAAAGACATTAAATAAAAATTCAAAACAATGGCATAGTTTGGCATGATAGGAAATCAACTTTTTGTTTCTAAAGGAAATTTACAATATATTCTCACTATGAGTCATATTATTTTTCAATGAAGTCACATAAAAGGATATTTTCCTTCATGCAGTTATTAATAACTAAGACTAATTTATAAAATACACTGACAATTTCCAATAATCGCTAAGAAACTGTTGTGAAAATCCTAAGCCTGTATTCTTGCAGAGCATATATGTAACAGGTGTTCCCACTCCCTGTGTCCTTTGTATACACATTCATTCTGTATTCAAATCACAGAAGCAAGAGGTAGGATAGGATCTGTTACCTCAGTGCTAATTTCCCTAGCAAATAAAGCAGCAGCTGCTGGTCCATGAACCAAGTTACCATCAAGAACAGGGCACTGTATGCATGGGACAGGATGCTTTCATGGAGCCCTTCAGCAGCACAGTTGGGGTCTTTCAGTGCAAAATATACCTCCTTCTCTTAGGTAAGGCACTGTATGAACTATATTGTACCTGTTTTTAATAGTGGGCATAAGGTAAATATTTGTGTTAGACTGTAGTTTCACTTGGATAATTGAAGAGCAGCTCAGAACCTTTTAAACAGTAATACACTTTGTTCCAGAGAAACAGCAGAAACATTTGGGAGAATGCTTTCTGATAAATAGATCATTATTGTTTTCTCAGAACACTTATTGCCAGTAGCACTCACTTGGAAAATTAGGACATTAAAACTCTACTGAATTTTCTTCTTTTTACAGTGTTTAGAATTAGATTCAGTTGTCTTCGATGCATTTTATTGTGACAAACATTCTTATAGGTCATGAAATTATGACCACTTATAGTGAAACTCAAAACAATTTTTCAGAGTGGTTTTCTATTATTTTAGTTAAAGATGTTACAAACTGTTGGCTGTGGTTTTTTTTTTTTTTTTAATTATTTATTTTATGAATATGGGAAAAGGTGAAGTTCCAAATTTTATAGTATTTTCTACACAAGATAGAAATGTTTTAGAAAGCATTATTTCTCCAGAATGGCCTTAGTTTTTCTCTTTACCTGATGGCTAGTCCCATTAAACTTCTCTTCTGCACCTTTATATTTTTATCCTTCTCCCCTTTTATTCTTAGACTTAAAAGAAGTTTCTTTCCAATATCCCCACTGTTTTTATTTGTCAACATTATTTTTATCAGATATTCTCTTCTATTTTCCATTCTTCCTATTCATCAGTTGTTTTAAGTCAGGTGAGTTTCTTATTTTGTTTCTATTCAGCACACAGAATTTCAGAAAAGACTATAGCCCTTAAATGTTAACAATTTATCTAACTAAGCAATTTAAGTTTTACTGTCTTTGTTGTTGTTATGTGCCATCAAGTCAGACCCGACTCATAGTGACCCCTCCTTGGGTTTCCAAGGCAGTATCATTACAGAAGTAGATTGCCCCATCTTCCTTCCGAGTGGCTGGTGGGTTTGAACCTCCAGCCTTCTGGTTAGCAGTCAAGTGCCTTAGGCACTAAGCTACCAGAGCTCCCATTTAAAATCCTTCTTTTACTGTTATACTTTGTTACTGTATGCATTGTAAATGTGATTATTATTCAAATTTATACCTACTATAGTACATATCCTACATTTGCATTTTCCATAGTTGTAATAGTTCTAGTCATTATGATGGTTATGTTATCAAATTCAAGCCCACAATGGATTTTGAGTTTTTGAAAAATTAAAAAATTATCATAACTGACTTTTTATCTTTGTGAACTTTCCCTGGCTTTGAAAAATACCATGTGTGTCAGTGCCTCCCTTGTTTTTAATTTTATTGTAAGACTACTGCTGTTATTTCATAAGCAATGTTGCTGTAATTGCCTTTACAAACTTAGAGGCAATTCACTTGAGGAATTAGACTAAAATAAAATTAAAATGTATTTTAGAGAAATTAGTATCATGCTCATAAATAGTTAAAGCAGTATTGCCCAGTAAGATAATTTCTTACTCTAATTTACTTTTTTTCCATAGGTAGTTTGTTGTAAAGACCACAGGTAATGTGAAAATCTTTTTGTTTTTAGGAATATTAAATTTTTGTTTTCTTTATCCTAAAATAAAAGCCACAAAAATGAACCCCCAAAATGAAGTTTATACAGTATATTCAAAATACAACTTCATTATTTCTATTTTCTTTAAAGATGCTTGAGTTTGTTTTCAGTCAACAATAGTTGTGTTATGTTTGCTAATACTGTGAATGACAATGGGGAGGTAAATGCCAACTATTTAAGCTAGGAGGTCACTTTGGTGAAGTCTGATGTTTGTATCAATACAGTGAAACTAGTCCAGGAAGTCTTTTGTTGCTGGAATACAGACAAATTTTGCAGTGGGACTTTTAAGTGTTCCTTAATGTTGGATACTTCTCTGTAATACTATTGCTGTAAGTTTAAGAGAGTCTGTGAAGGGGAGATAATTGCTGTCATTTTATATGGAAAAAAAGGGGTCCTTCCCCTTTCACCTACCCCCTTTACCTCCTGCACCTCCGCTGGGAAACAAGGAGCAGAGATGTTCTATCCCCCGGCCACTGCGGGCAGAGACCTAATTTATATATAGGTGGTGGCAGGTGTCAGGACTGGGGAGCCGGAGCACACCCGGAAAAACTCACCTTGGCTGCCTGGATCCGAGCCCTACTCAGATAGCGTCTCGCAGAGACATCCTTTAGACTAGGCCAAAGAAAAGGGCAGAGGCTATCTTGGTCTCCGTCCCCCTTTTATTGTCTTTCCAGTGACAGCCTTGTAGGGACCCCCGCATACTATCATCTGTGAACGAGGGTAGGAAGCTTGGGTCTGTGCATAGAGATGACATGGAAAGAGTGAAAACGCGTAATTTGAAGAAAGGATTTTTAGCTTTGTGACTGGGCAAACTCCCAAACCTTGTAGTTTAAGATTCCACACGTGAATGCGAGAATAATAATTGCCTTTTTCATCTTACCTCACAATTCTGTTGATGTTCATCCATAAACTAATGCATGTGGAAGGTTTTTTTTTTTTTGAGAAATCTTACTTTTTTTTTATTATCATTGTCATGACAAGATGATGTCTTATTAGTTTTTGCCAAAATGATAAAAGTAAACAAGGACATCTCCAATGACTTCCCCAAGTGACAAGGATAAATTGGCCAGAATGGAATGACCTTAGCTGAATTCCTTAGCTGAAACAAATCTGAATTTTCATATTTTATACTCAAAAAGTATTGCTACTGTTCTTAGGTACTGTCAAGTCACTTTTGAGTCATACTGAGCCCCTGTGACAGGGTGGAACTGCCCCATAGGGTTTTCTTGGCCAATCTCCAGGTCCTTCCCTGCAGAGCCGGTGGGTGAGTTTGAATTGCCAACCTTTTGGTTACCTGTGGAGGTCTTAACTCTTGTACCACTGAGGCTCCTTCAAAAATAATTAATCAATATAATAATATTTAGGAGCTCTGGTGGCATAATGCCTAAGGCATTTGACTGCTAACCAGAAGGTTGGAGGTTCAAACCCACAAGCCACTCCTCGGGAGGAAGATTGGGCAATATACTTCGTAGAGACACCTTGGAAATCCAAGGAGGGGTCGTTATGAATTGGATCCTACTCAATGGCAGTGAGTTTAGTTTGGATAATAATATTTAATTTAATCCAACTCATAGCGACCCCTCCTTGGGTTTCCGAGGCAGTATCACTACCTTGGTTGGGCAATCCTACTTCCGTAGTGATACTGCCTCGGAAACCCAAGGAGAGGTCGCTATGAGTCGGGGCCGACTCGACGGCACATAACAACAACAACAACAATATTAAATTATTAAAAATCAAAAAAGTAAAACCTGTGAAAGCCGAACCTGTGTAAGGCAGAAACCTGCCAGAGAAAGAAAACTCAAATATTTTCCACTAAATAGTTGTAGAAAAGTGACTGCACCCCATGAGAGGCAGAAAACTTCTGAGACCCATCAAAACAAGGCAGTCCCATGGAATTCCAGCTGTAGGAAAATTGAAAATAATAACAAAATACAATTTAATAATAAAATTTAAGTTCCATATAAGTCCAATACATGGACTATAAAAAGGAAATTGGAAATTTATCAATTTCATAACATTTCTTTTATTGAGGTTCATTTGTTAATATCAAGGTTAGTCTTTTAAAATCAGCAGTGTTAGTCCTTTATGTTTTCTCATACAAATACAAAATAACTCTTAAAAAATGTCTCAAAATGAAGCTAATTTTTTTAAATTAGTAAAACTATTGTCTTGACAGCATAAATTCATCACATCTGTACTGGGAAATATATCAATTATAAGAGAATATGTTTCTAAATGTAGAGGAAATAACCAGTTATCTGTTTATTCCCCAAAGTTCACTACAAGTATGGATTGCATCATATCACTAGGTCCATGTGTTTTCTGCAAAATGAAGAGTTTTTAGGAGGCTGAAATCAGAAACTGTATAAAGAAAATTATATTCCTTGCTGACATTCCCATAAATTGTTATCTATAATTTATCTGATAAAAAAGGTATAGGCAGTCTGTAAGAAAGAACTATTGTAACAGCTGTGCTATCTTTCACTGTCATACACACATTTGAAAACACACATATTTGAAAACATTTAACTTGATATGGTATTCAGAGATATCTGTGGCAATATATTATTTTAGGTATGATGCAGTTTCTAAAATAACCCAAGGAACTAGTTTTTCTCCCTTTAAAAATTATTGAGAACACCATATAAAATATGATTTTCTAATAAAGTAGTTTCATTTTGCCCTGGGCTGCCATATTTGTTTTTATATTAAACAAAATTTGCTTTCTATTACTTTAGTCATAAACTCTCCAGTGTTTTCTTTTTTAAGATTCAACATTCCAGTTCAAGATCCAAAAGCCATGAATATTTCTATTATAGTGATACTAGTAGTCCACAGACATACAGTGCCTCCCTAGCCAATTCCAGAATATTACAAACTCAATTTTTTTCAACTACAGCTATAAGAAAAGTTGAAGACAAAGAGTCCTTCCAAACAAATAAAAAACAAGCATGTACTTCTGTAATGATTGCCCCAAGTGATAAAGACAATTTGGCCAGAATTACATCAGATCATCTACATCTCAGTCTAGCAGTGGTTTCTAGGTTGAGCTGTGAAAGGTCTTGAATGGACCAATAAAGTCAACGATCAAACTGCTCCTTGCCAGAAACAATTACTACATTTTACGGCAGCAGCCATGCAACTTTTCCCAGTGCATTTCCAAAGCAATGATTTGGATTTCCACCACCCCTTTTGATTTCTTTAGTAGCAAACACAGAGCTGCCACTTTATTGAAGGATATTCTGTAGGGATTGATGACAATTCCGTGGACTAGAAAACTGAGACAATTCTTAAATATTCACTGGACCTCTCTCAATTAAACATAGGTCCTAACCCTTCAAGGGAGCTCTGGTGATGAGTGCCTAAGGCATTTGACTGCTAACCAGAAGGCTGGCTGTTCAAACCCACCAGCCACTCTTCAGAAGGAAGGTTGGGCAATCTACTTTCGTAGTGATACTGCCTCAGAAACCCAAGGAGGGGTCAATATGAGTCAGATCTGACTCTATGGCAGTGGTTGCCTTTTGTGTTACCCCTTCAAATGTAGATAGCTGCTACCCTAATAAAAGCATTTCAGGATGTCAAGGACATAAACTGAGAGTAGAAAGATGCCTTAGACCTTATCTAACCTAACATCCTTTTTTCACATAGAAGAAAGCTAAGGTGCAGAGTAGTAAAATGACTAATCTCCTTCTTCTCTACAATCCTCTTTCTCTTTGTTAGAATTCCTAATACCTAGCTCCCTTTTTCTAATAATTCAAATTAGGAACAACTCCAAATTTAACATTCTTGTACTTTCCAGAAAAGAACACAGAAGCAAACTCTCATACCTTGCAATCTATTTGTTATTATCAAGATCATTAATATGAATGTACAAGTACAGTCCATTATCATAAAAAAAAGTAAGTCGATCACAAATACACACAGAGGGGTCTGTGAGACATTTCTTTATTTTTTTTTTCTATGTAGTTACCTACTTTCTAGGCCATATAGTTCATTTCATTTGAATGGGAGTCTCTTTTCCCTCTAACCTGTGCACATCTTCCTGTTTGTGTTTCCCTCCAGACTTATTTGCTCTAACAGCACTCACTCCTACAAGGTAGCCAGAGGCCCAAATCACGGAAACTTTGTTCTCAACATTACCCTGGTAAGGCAAAGAGAGACATTTACTGCAGGTGGAACTTGGCTCTTCATACAAACAAGCCTACATCTTTCAGTTTTTTCAAAGAAATCATCTGCAAAAGACAAAATTTCCCACACTTCCCTTTCTAATACAGATTGCCTTTCATGACATGATTTGTATAGACAGAATTTTTAAGTCTCTTGAAATCCAGACTTTCTGGAGCCATCAAAGTTGAAATAATGCACCTGAAACTATTGCCCTGAGGTAATCTTTGAACCCTAAACTTTGAGCTGAAATTGGTCTTCTGAAAGCCATCTTTAAGTCAGACACTGATTCAGCTTAATCAGGAAAGAACATTTGCCTTGCACATTGTGATCTTTTAGACTATCTATGTGTAGTCAATTTTGGCAAAAGTAATTCCAAAGGTAAGAATAGAAGCTATATTTTAAAGTCTATCAGTAGTTATTTTAACTGTTCCGCAAGAAAATGCTGTATAGAATCCTGTATGTCCACAAACTATTTTGTAAACTATTCTGGCCCTGTTTCCATGACAATATATGTTTACTAGAGATCAAACGAAAAAACCAAACTCACTGCCATCGAGTGGATTCCAACTCATAGCAACCTCTTCTTGGATTTCTGAGGCAGTATCTCTACGGAAGTAGATTGCCCAGTCTTCCTCCCAAGGAGTGTCTGATGGGTTTGAACTGGTCAGCAGTCAAATGCCTTACCACTGTGCCACCACAGCTCCTGTTACTAGCGATAAGCTGGGGTGTAAAAGTTACAAAAGGGTCTTACTTCTCTGGAACATTTTTGACTCTCTAGTTGGAAATGTTGCCCTAGTTTGCAAAAATGAATATTAAATAAACTTCAATCAATTTCTATTATTGTCTTAATATTATTTTTGCTTTAATACTTGAATGCTCAAGCTTAAAGATTCCTACCGAGTAGGTGTGAAGCAATCAAAGAGGATAAACATTTCACATATGGGGAAATTGAAATTGTAAAATAATTGTTGTATTTTTAAAAATCTAAAATGCAGCAATCAAGAAGGATAAATATTTTATGTTTGGAAAAATTGTAACTGTGGAATAATTACTGTATCTTTTCGTTTGAAAATGAAGCTTGTGGGTCTGTACTTGTAAACTGATCCTGCCTAATAATGGTTTAATGCTATTCTTCTCAGCATATCTACATTTAAGGCCCCGGCTTAAGGGAAGGAACTTCCAATAGTGAAATATCAAGCCATTCAGAAGGTTTAGGGGGACATTCTTGGGAAGCAGTAGTTTTGCAGATCATATAGCTTGATTAGGATATGATATGATTCCCACATTGATAGAGTCAATGTTAATAGAAGCCAGTGTTTTAAAGGTTTTCACTGGACTTTAGAACTAATAATCTTTCCTAGTTCTCCTTTTCCCATTATTCTTTAACAGCCATAGATAATAACTTCTGCTTTTCCTTTTCTCTGGCCTTTAGAGAAGCTATGCAATCAGCTGCACTCTTTGGGTGGAGTTTTTGAAATGCAGAAGGTTTCAGAGACAAATATTTACCTCTACACACAACTGGTACTAGAATGGTCAGTAACTGCAAGTCTCTCTTCCTTGAAAACAGGTTCTCTCTGCAGTTGCCCCTTTAGATTGTGAAATGTGGCTCAGAGTCTTCACAGCTTTCCTTTCTGTTGCAGCAGGCACTTGCTCAGGGCTGACAGTGACGGTACCATCACACACTGTCCATGGCATCAGAGGTCAGGCCCTCTACCTCCCTGTGCACTATGGCTTCCACACTCTGGCTTCAGACATCCAGATCATATGGCTGTTTGAGAGACCTCACTCAATGCCCAAATATTTACTGGGCTCTGTGAATAAGTCTGTGGTTCCTGACCTGGAATACCAACACAAGTTTACCATGATGCCACCCAATGCATCTCTGCTCATCAACCCACTGCAGTTCACTGATGAAGGCAGTTACATCGTGAAGGTCAACATTCAGGGAAAAGGAACGCTCTCAGCTAGTCAGAAGATACAAGTCACCGTTGATGGTGAGTCCACTATGAGTATGCCTGGGCAGCAGGGTAGCATAATGCACAGTAAAGGCTCAAGCATCTAAATGACTTGGGCTTTAGATCCTGGCTCTCCCACTTTGGGCAGATTAACCCTGAGAGGTCAGTGTCTGATGGCACTAATAACATCTACCTCAGGAGGCTTTCTGAGGATTGAATACAGCTTTGAGTGTAAGCATTATGCACAATGCTCAGCAAAATGTAATGAAGCAATAAGAATAACTTATTATTTGTTTGCCTGAAAACTGTTAAGTATAAAGTTGCTGGTATAATGAGATGTAGGAACTCTTATTTGCTCAGTAACACCCTGGGAAGATTTTTTTTTTTTTTTTTTTTTCGGTCACATGAAAATTTTTATTTTGGTAAACTGTTTGGGGCAGGATGAGACTTACATAAGAACCATACTTAAGGAACAAGTTGCTGCAAATATCCTCTGAGAGGTACTGGGGTCGACTAACTTTCAGACATTTATTTTCTTTATTGAAGTATGTAAGTGGAATACCTTAAATACATTATGTCCAATATTCAACTTTGGATTTTTTCCTCTAAACCTATAATATTCCCCCAATGTAGTAAATATCAACTCTATTTTATTGATTGCTCAGGCCAAACACAATGGAGTTATCATTGATCTCTTTCTCTCACATCCAGTTCACACTAAAACTCTGTCAGCTTTACTTTTAAAATACTGACAAAGTCCAACTACTTCTCACCACCCCACTATTGCCCTGCTCAACTCCACTGTCATCTCTCACCTGGATTATGCCGTTAGCCTTCCAGCTAGTCTCCCTGCTTCTATTCCTGCCCCCTGCAGCTTAAAGTCCTCCAGTAGCTTTGTATCTCCCACAGAATAAAAGTCAAAGTAGTAGCAATGGCATATAAGACCCAACATGAACTCCCCCATGTACCCAGCACCTAGCTGACTTCTTTTCCTGTCTCTTTTCCCCTCACACATCTTGTTCTTCATAGAAGGGACCACACACATACTTCAGGACCTTTGTATTTGCTGTTCAATCTACCCAGATTGCTTTTAGCCTGGATATTAGCATGGTTTCCTCCATTCTTTCTTTTAGGTTTCAGCACAAATGTCACTTAACGTATCATTTTAGCCTTTCCTGACCACCCTATGTAATGAGTAACCCAACTCCCCCAAACACACACATATACACTTTATCTCAAATTCTGCTTTGGACTGGGCAGATTAAATATTTTTATTTGCTTATTGTTTATTTCCCCCACCTAGATACAAGGCCCATATGAACAAGGACTTTTTATTCTTTGATGCTTTCTCCTCAGTGCCTGAAACTTTTGCTGTCTGCCTTTTCGCAAGTGTTCAGTAAATGTCTGTAGAAAAACTCACTGTCAGTAGAGAAGCCTAGAAGGCTGGAGGGGAACGAAGATGCAGAATGGGGCAGCAGATACCTAGAGAGTGACTTTAGAAAAAGAAGACGTATCTAGAGAGAGTTTTGATGACATTTTCCTGTCTGGTATCCTGTCTCCCCACAAAACTTTTAATATAACACCCATTACTTGTTAATGTGTAGTAAAAGTTGGATCTGTTTAGGATCTTGATAGGCATTTATGGCCAGAGAGAAATATCTTCTTGGGAAGTACCCACATTTTGATTGTACTATTTTAGGAAGTGTGTGATCATAATACCAGTGATACTTCTATCGTAATACTCTACTATTCTAATGATTGGTTCTCCTCAAACAAAGCTGTTGACATGCTACCTAGATGACATATTTCATCCCACATATATTTTCACACAAAACACATTGTGAAAGCAAAGAGAAAAATACAAGTTTTTTCTACATAATAAACATACACACACTCATTTTTCTTTTAAAATTGTCACACTGTAAACAAGTCCCTTATCTTGCCAAGAAATAAAATGGATTAAATTAAATGGAAGTCAGTTGATTACACCTACCTTGAGAAAGGCTGGTGGTTTCAGAACTCCTCCACTGCCCTACTAGTTGTCTTTCAACTAGTTCCTTTCTCCTTAACTTTCATTTTCTTCTATCTTCTCTGAGGTGATGGATTGGGTCTGTCTATACTATAATGTGGCAAAATGTAAGCACAGGTCACAAGTTTACTTGAAGGAGATGCACCATCCCCAATTAGAAACTTCCTAGGAATTCAAAGCCAAAATGTTGGTGCCAATCATCTGTCCCTTATGTATTACCTCATTCTGTCTGTGTCCTGTGATCATGCATAAACCAAAACCCACTGCCTTCAAGTCAATTCCAACTCATAGTGACCCCCATTGGATTTCCAAGGCTGTAAATCTTTATGGAAGTAGATTGCCTCATCTTCCTTCGGTGGAGCAGCTGACTACCTTTTGCTTACCAGTCCAATGCCTTAACCACAGCAACACCAGAGCTCCTTAATCATACATAGAAATAGATTATTAAATAGAAGAGAGAAACATTGTCAGATGAAAAACCCTCTTCATTTTGCCACTTATTGCTATATAACCTCAAAGATTAATGAAGCTTGCTGAAAATAGTTATGTATGCTTATATAATTCCTACCTTTACCCATCAGTTCTAGAATCAAAATTCAAAGGATAAATATTTAGTCATTCTTGGTAATTTATTTATTTAGCAAATAATACTAAATGTCTACTATTCAGCAGGCTATGAAAGAAAACTATTTTCCCATGACTTGAAGTTACAACAGGAATTTCTGTTGGATTTTTCTTTTATTTCTCTGTTTTCATATATATGTTACAACATATTTTATCCTATTTTCAGATTGAGTCAGTGTTAGAAATGTAGGCTTTAGTTTGTTAAAGTGACCAACATAATGTTGCAACACAAACATAAAGCAATTAAAAACACTTAACCAAGTGTGCCCATAACCATATATAGAGTTAGCGGACAGTGTTTCCACATGCATATTTGTATGTGCTGTAAGAATGTCCAGGGGTATAGTAGAACTGACAAGGGACAACTTTGTGGTGGCTTCTTGGCCACAGCCAGCTACCTGAAGGGAGTGAGTAGTTGGACCTGTCGGCTCGGGACCATGGTCTCAGGAGACATCAAGCTCAATTGGCATAACATACTACACAAAAACATTGTTCTACATCCTACTTTTGTGAGTAGTGACTGGGGTCTTAAAAGCTTTCAACAGGCCATCTAGATGCAACAATGGGTCTCTTTTCATCTGGAGCAAAGAAGAATGAAGAAAACCAAAGATGCATGAAACAATTAGTCCAAGGGACTGGTAGACCATGGGATCCTCAGCCTAATTGACCATGAGACTAGAAGAACTAGATCGTACCTAGCTACAACTATCAACCACTCAGAGGGGATTGGTGTGGGAGATGCTGGATAGAGTGGGGGAACAATGTGGAACAAAACTCAAAATCATAAAAATAAGACCAGGTTTTCTGGTCTGATAGAGCCTGGTGAGATCCCTGAGACTGTGGCCCCTAGCTATCCTTCAGGTCTGGAATTGAACTCACTCCTGTGGCTTCCAGCCAAACCATACACAAGCATATGGGGTAAACATTTACATCAAGTAGATATACTACTGGGAGTGATCAGTCATGGGAAAACAGAAGGGCAATGTTTGCACAGGGAGACAGCTGGGGGACAGGGGGTAGGAGTGAATGGGAGAGAAGGACACAGCAAAGAGGTAACTATGGGGAGGAAGCGGGAAGAGAGCTGTTACATTATGCAGAATTGCAGTCAGTGTCATGAGACAAAATGTGTATGAACTGCTGTATGGAAGATGAATTTGCTCTATAAACTTTCACCTGAATCACAATAAAAATTTAAAAAAATAAAATAAAAATAGAAACACATAATTAATTCCCTTGCATAGAAGTAAAAGTAAAGGGTGTATGTGTGATTCTCTAAGGCATTCCCTCAGTTCTCCATGTAGTATAGCATATATGAACCATATATTTGCAGATGGTGCAAAATAATTTGGGTTCCTTACCCTACCCCAACCAGCTAGCTGCTGCTGCAACATTACAGAGAGTCAAGAGAAGGGGAAACCAAAAAA